GTTCTTTGCATCAGCAGATTAACACTGTTTGTTTGAGTTTGTGGAACAAGTGTCTAGTCTGCTTGGCTTCCCATGCTCTTTCCCAAAACATTCAGCACGATTTAGCAAAATGGACACACACACACACACACACACACACACACACACACACATAGAGTCAGTCACACAGTAAATATTTGCCCTTACCTGCAGTCCAGGGGCAGTGTTGGAGCTGAGTGCTGCTTGGACAGTGTGGGTGGTGCTGGTGCAGTGGTGGTTTCTAATGGTGTGTTCTGAGGATGTGCCTTGTAAAGAGGGTAAGGTGTGCTCCTGCATCCCTCCTCTCCCTCTTCCTCTCCTCCTCCCTCCCGCTTTCTTTCCTTCAATCCCAGCAGGAAGAGAGTGGCAGCGCTTGGGAACGCCTACATGAAAACACTTTCCCGGCTGGTGCCAAGCTCATGGGCTGCCGCTGTTGTGTGGTGGAGTGGAGCCACAGTGCCACAGACTCAGCCAAGCTGCTGTCTACTGGTCTCAGCTCGCAGACAGACAGGGAGGAAGTTGCCGTTTCCCACAGAGAAGCCCCCACCGTACCCCTCCTCATCACATCGGTCCATTCACCCTCCACACACACTTTGTCTATGCCAGATCATCCTCTCTTGTGTTTCCCGCTGTGCAGTAAGTCTGTCTTACCTTGCATGTTCCACTGCTGTTGAGAGACCCATCGGTACCACAGGCCACAGTGTAAGAGCACTTCATGGGACTCCTGATAACAATCCTAATGACAACAATGAGTACAACAAAGACAAAGATTAGTGGCACTGAAAAGAAAATTAATTAAATGGTGACCATTCAAACCAATAAGAAACAGAGTACTCAACAAATTAAAAACTTACACTAGAAAAGGAGGAGGGGGCGGGACTATATATATATATGAGTTATAAATTATTAAGCCTTATAAAGTTTTTATGTTTTTTTTTTTATTTTGTGTTCATTGTATTTTAATATATACACATGCACTTTATATATATATATATATATATATTACATTTAAATTAACAAATTTTAGTTTAAAATAAATGTTTTTTTTTCATTGTTTTAATTATGAATCTAACTAAATTGCATGTGGTTCCTGCTTAAAATGAAAATGTAAAAAAATTACACATTATCTTGTACATTATCTTCTCAACAAAAAAAAAAATCTTGTTTTATGTGATTATTTTACAAAACCAAACCAACATACTGATTAAGAAAGTGATGTTTTGCAGTGTAATAAAAGAGGAAGAGAGCGATGGATGGAGAAAAAGGCTTGGGCAGCACAGGCAGATAGCTGAGACCACCATGCCTGTATGTGACGTCTACATTTATAGACCACATGTTCTCTTCGTTGCCTGTCTGTCTGCTCTGTACATTAGGGACGCTTCGCTACACTTAAAGCTCAATCAAACACTCCTCTCAACCACAGATTTGTATGGTGATAGACATACTTCAGGAGATTTGCACAGTCTGGAAGTCTGGAGGAATGGTCGCTTTTTAAAAGCCTAAAATTACAAGGCACAAAACATAGGGAAGGTTTGTGTGTGTGTCACAGAGAAGGAGAGAAATCCTTCAGTACTTCTAAGGTGAATGGCCATGTAGGGAAAATGCATATTGGTTGTTATAAACAGACAAGAAAAAAGAGGTTTTCCTTCAGTCTAAGCTAGGGAATGAAAAACACTCATTGTGGGTCAGAGGGAAAAAAGTTGGGAATGAATAGACAAAAATCATTTATTGCTCTCTAACTAGCTGTCTAATTCACCACACATGAATGCATTCACTACACTCATAGTCCAAACAAATGTTCTTCTCACACGACAGGCATGTTATTAGAGCCTAATTCTGCAGGGTCTGTTTTGGAACAATGAATCAGCTCTGCTATGCAAACTGATTGCAAGCTAAGCAGATATGGGGAAATAAACAGACCTGCATTTTAAAGTCAAACGATCACTACTTTCTAGCAGTTGGTTCTTGCTATTAAGGAAAATGTTTTGGTCATGCTTCTGGTCTGTTTTTGAATTATTCACCAATGGTTATTCCAAAGAAATAATAGTAATAATTATAATCTATAATCAAAATTAAAGAAACTTGCAAAACATGCTTTTTCTCTGAAACTGTTGTTGTCCCTTAGGCCACACAGACTATTTGGTTAATGTTAACCAAAAGTGAAATACACTTAGCTATTTAGGCATTGTTTTCGGTCTGGCTCCATTCTGGTATGGAATTTCAAACACATTTTGCGCAAACCCTGTTACAAACAAAATGTTTTGTAGTTGCAAAGTATTGTTTTTTAAAGAAAAAGGGTTAAATAACCTAATGTCAGCCATGGCAATATCTCATTGCATCATTACTATTAATAATATTGTGCTTTGTACCAAGCATTTTTTTTAGTTTATTAATTTTTATTTATTTACTTATTCATTCTTGTCAACTGATCATTCTTATATTGTTCCCTAACAGTTGAGCGTGTAAACATATAAGCAGATGCTAATAAAGACGCTGATAAAGAAAAAAAATGACCTCAGCTTAAATCAAGTGAACCAAAATAACTATGCATGTCACTGCCTTAAATATAATTTTTGGAAGGTGAAACCTTTATTTTAAATGAAGGGTAAATGGCACAGTACACTCTTAAAAATAAAGGTGCTTCACGATGCCATAGAAGAACTTTTTGTCTAAATGGTTCCAGAAAGAACCTTTCTGTTTCACGAAAGGTTCTTTGTGGCAAAAGAAGGTTCTTCAGATTATAAAAAGGTAAGAAAGAGATGGTTCCTTAAAGAACCTTTGACTGAATGGTTCTTTGTGGAACCAAAAATGGTTCTTCTACGGCATCGCTGTGAAGAACCTTTTGAAGCACCTTTATTTTTGAGAGTGTATAACAGGGTTGAACAGAAAGTACAGAGACAAAGGAAAATTCTGTATTTGCTTTTTCTCATTTTCAGGGGGAAAAAAAACATGATATTTTCATTTCAAATAAATAGGTAAAAGTACATTTTTGGAACTATGTTTAAAATGGATAATGCTGCAGAAAACTGTAAACGTCTGGAAGAAACAGTTGAGACAGTAAACTGTTGATCAGTAATAGAAAAGCTTCCTTTATTGTTTTCCCGATAGTGAGTAATGATCGTTTTCTCAGGCTCTCATTTCAGTCAGTTGATAAAGATAATATACAGATTTTTAAGTCAACAGTGAATCCATTCTAAAATGCACATGCCTTAGACCAGAGGTTCTTATCTAGGGATTCAGATGAAAGTGCAGAAGATTTCAACGGCTGTATTAATATAACGATCCAGCAAATGAGTTTGTGCCAGAATGTCACTGAAAGCCCTGCAATTCTGTAACCTAAAAAATGGGTTGCATAACAAAAGAAAAAATAATTTAATAAACTTTATGACTGTAAACTAATTTGACTAAGGCCGATTTCAGTAGCTGTGCCACACAAGAATGTGGCCACAGTGAGATGGACGAGTGAAAGCAGTGATGTTGCACTTTCAGCACATGACCCCAAATGTGACTCCTCATTCCTTAGCCATTCTAGGAAATTGACTGGTCAAGAAAGTGGACTCGTCTCTAAGTATCTGAGGTTTGCAATCTCTCTGGTGTGTTGGAGAATCACGTTACAGTCACTTAGAGAATGTCGGGCGTGAGGAACACTCAGCACACTGCACCCTTTGTGTTCCTCTCGCAGGTGCAACAGCTGAGAGAAGAACAGCTGTGACTGACCGGCCACAAAGTCCATAGCAAGACTCTCCCTCGTGCTCAAAATAGCAAAATAAGGACTTTCCTAACTGTTGTGGACTGTGTGAAGTCTTATTTAGCAAGTCGTTAAAGCCACATCAAAAAAGCCACAGGATACTGAAATAAGACAATGGACGTGTCTTTGCGTTATGTAGGTTAAATCGTCCCACTGCAATGCAAGAACACAAGCATTTACCGTTCATCTTGCTGTCATTTAATGTGCTAAATTTCAAAAACAATAGTTTAAATTGGAGAAACGTCACTAAGTCACATCTGGTTCCTTTTTTCATTTGGATTGGACGTGTCATTGACATCTGTTTTTATTTCTTTTCTGCCATTTACTCTGAATTAAATGGACGCTGCAGCAGATCATCTGATGCACAGGGAAGTTTCTGTAGACTAAATACGGACATTTTAGATGCATAAAATAAGAGATTTAAAAGATATAAAATACATATTTCGACCACATGAAATGTGACCAGTACAAAGTGAGAATTTGTTCTTGGGTTCCCTTCACTCATTTAATAGGCTCCTGGTCTATCAGTACATCTGGTATGGGTCTACACAAGACTCACTGGTCTCTAACACAACATCTTAAGCCTACACCTCACCTTAACCATTCGCATTTTTCTACCCTCAGAACCACATTCACGTCAAACACAGATTTGCAATGACGCATACAGGTGCTTTCGCGAGGCCAATGTCAATAACCCAAAAGAGACAGTTGTTTCTATAGCCACTGCTGAGGATCGATTCACCCATGAGAAACTCAATGTCTGAGACTCAACACATCGCCGCCCAGACTGACCAGTATAAGAAAAATACATTTCAAAGAATTCTCTGTACGTCCAAGGGCACGCGAGGACTTTTTTTTTTTTTTTTTGTGGAAACACTTTGACTCAGCATTGACTCCATAGATCGTGAAGTTCACCATAAATGGCTTCACTTTTGTCCCGCTGCTGTTGTTCTACATTCCCAAACATGTGTGATAGAAGCGTGCCATGTGATTGGAGGCCTCTCCCAGTCCTCACGCAGACAGCTGCTGTCCTGATGACAGTGCACATACGGACCCCTCGGAGTCATTTAAACTTTAAAGATCCTCCAAAGGAGGCTGTGAGTGTGTGAGAGTCGCCCCTTCAGTCTCTCTTTTGGTCACTTCTCCAGAAGATCTGGCGGTTTGAAACAAGCAGACAGTCTCTTAAGTCCTTCCAAGTTTTCCAGAAATCCTGAGGCCTTTTATTTGAGTCACAATGGGAGCGTTTATCGCCAAGATGTTGCTGCCCACCATCAGCAGTTTGGTGTTCCTTCCTGCAGCCAGTGTTGCCGCCAAGAGGGGTTTCCACATGGAGGCCATGGTCTATTTCTTCACAATGTTCTTCATAGCGGTAAGAGGCTTTTATAAATGTTACAGACATGTGGAGAAATATACAGTACTACGCTCTTCATCTTTACAGCTTGTGTGTCTCTTATTAGTATTGATATACTTGTGTCTAAAGGGCCGTTTACACAGAAAATGGTCTTGCGAACAAAGACAAAGTAGAACTTCTTTTAACCGGACATGCCTCTTAACAATTGTCCAACTGAGTTTACATAGGGGGGAAAACTACATAGACATACTGGGTGTGATATTTTAATTTTAACTAAAGTAAAATCTGGGATTTGTTAATTGATTGATTGATAAATGCAATATACTACAGTATATAATACTTTCTAGGGCCATTCACAATGAACATTATTGTGTTAAAAAAGCAGCAAGACGGCGAAATGGTCAAAAATGTGCAAATGTAAATTTAAAAAAGGCAACAAAAAAAAAACTATATAGAAATGATAGGTAAAATGTTTTAATTTCAATTAAAGCAAAAGTGATGACAATTTTTATTTCTTCACTTATTTTATATATTTTAATATAATATTTTATATTACATTTAACCCTAGATATATATGCTGCTCATGTACGAGACTCTAAAAAAGCTATGAGACATGGCACAATTGTCAAAGACGTCCATCTAGCTTTAAGTAGAAAGCAATTAAAAAGCGCATTGGAACACAAAACACTTTCTGTGTGAACTGGCCCTAAATTCTCAACTCATTACAAAACAACCAATGAAAAAAAGTTTACAAAACTCAGGCTACTGTAGTTTGTTCAGTCTGATAGCATTACTGAAGGAAAAAAGGTCTTCTTCATGAATTTTTCCAGACAAGAACGCGGAAAGTTTCATCTAATCTATCTTAGAGCCTTTTAAATTTACATTTATGTTTTCAGCCGGAATCTTTCTATCAAGTTGACTTAGCAGTCATGTGTTTTCTCCATTTGTGCTCAGATTTACCATGCGTGTGATGGTCCAGGTTTGTCCATTCTCTGTTTCATGAAGTATGAGATCCTGGAGTACTTCAGCGTGTATGGCACAGCTATCTCCATGTGGGTCACACTACTAGGTGAGCAAATTCCAATAGCATCTCTGTATCCTCATGGAGAGCAAATCTCAATCAAAGTATGACATAGATACGCACTCCCACACAGGTCAAACAGCCAAGCAAAGTGCTTTAAAATACTATTTTTCGTGAGCAGTGTGACAAGTGTTTATAACTTGAATTCCGCTGTGTCATGTCAAGAATATGTGTCCATTTGCTCTTATCCAGCACTGGGAGATTTCGATGAACCCAAGAGGTCTTCGCTCACCATGTTTGGGGTGTTGACATCAGCTGTGAGAATCTACCAGGACCGCTTAGGCTACGGCATCTACTCCGGCCCCATTGGAACAGCTGTCTTTATGATAACAGTCAAATGGGTGAGTTTAAGAGACATCAGATGCTGTTCTTACAGTGCTTTTAAGAGCAGAGCTCCAAATAAACTTGATGAGGAACTGTATTTTGCTCATATTGACAACATGGAAACTCAAAATTTTATTATCTACCACAAATGCTTTCACAAGGTTTTACAATATTGTTTTTGCTTTGCTCCAGTTACAAAAAATGAAGGAAAAAAAAGGCCTTTATCCTGACAAAAGTGTTTACACTCAACAAGTGGGGCCAGGGTTCTGCTTCGGTGCTCTTGCTTTGATGCTTCGCTTCTATTTCGAGGTAAAAAATATAAATGTGCAGCTCTTAAACTGGAGTAACACATTACACAGTTTGTCAGAAAAGCATGTTTGCGTAACTGCAGTAATGACTTGCTCATTTACTCCTGCAGGAGTGGGACTACGCTCATGTCCACAGTTTCTACCATGTGTCACTGGCTGTGTCCTTCATTCTGCTGCTGCCCAAGAAGAACCGTTATGCCGGGACGGGACGCAACGCAGCCAAACTCAACTGCTACACCCTCTGTTGCTGTGTATGATGCATCTTTTTATCTGAGCGAAGCTGTAGAGGTGATCCTCACCCTGAAAGCCACTTTTAGATGACAAACAGTCTCATAGTGAGCATTTAAAGGGATTGTTCACCCAAAATAAGAATTGTCATTATTCTCCGTCATGTCATCCCAAAACTGTACGACTTCTGTGTAACAAAAAAGGTGACTTTTTTTAGTGTTGTGCTGATTGCTCTTTTTCATGTGAATGAAGAAAGTGGGGACTGGATCTATTAAGCTTGAAAAATGATATAAAACCCCTATATAAAGTAATCCATACAACTCATGCTATATTCATAAGCCTTTTGGAGAAACAGACCATAATAAGTTGTTTTTCGCTAAAAGCCTTCATACCCATCCTAGCTCTCCTTGGCCTGTTGTCAAGAGCTCATAAGAGAAGCTGCAATGTCAGAATGTCAGAAACATTCTTTTGAGCCAGATCTTTTCAGTGAATCACTTGATTCAGTTCACAAGACTGAATGATTCAGCCAGGAATTTGACCTTGGCTTTCAGTGATTAGTTTGTAGCAGTTATCAGTTCACTGGAAATTATTCACTTGTAGCAGTTATCAATTCACCAGAACTCATCTTGTTTGTTTTAGATTATTTATGACATTCTACAGTAATTTTGTAACATTATTAATCTTATAATCTCCTTCACTTTACTTACACTTTTTCATACAACTTCAAAAGACTTGGAATATAGTGTTTGAGTCGTATGGACCACTTTTATGGTACTTTAATAGTTTTGCAATAGTTAATACTTTATAATAGACTTTTAAGTTTAGTATAAGCTTAAAAGCCTCAGACCTCATTCATTGCAATTGCCCTAAGCTACCAGTACGTTTTTTCTTCAACAGAAGAAAAGAAAGTCATACAGGTTTGGAACAACATGAGGGTGATTAAATGATGACAGAATTGTCATTTTTGGGTGAATTATACCTTTAACTTTCCAGAGATTGTCCATCATGTTAATCACACTCCTTTTCTCAATAGCAGACTTCACAGCCTCAGATGAAGGAAAAAGCACGGACTATCTGGACTACTCCTCAAAAACCCTGGATGCGGACCTGTGGTCCTGGCCTGCCATTACACAAATCCCGGCCACGCACCATGTAATGCAAGAAACTGTGTCTGTTAACAGCACTCTGAAAGTGAGAACAGTTATACGACCTCCCAACAGGCCAAGTATGCCTTGGACAACTTATTTGCAAGGATAGCATGATGCCCGATTGACGTCAAAATCACTAAAAAGGTACTGAAACGTGTTTAAAGACGCATGGCAAGATAAGGATTGTGACAGCGAAGAATCTCCGTCACAAGAAGAGTTCAACTGAAAAGAAAAGAGAAATTACCAAGACTGGATTTGACTCATCAAACCCAGCTGGAAAGTTTATGAGTCGCAAAAAAACAGCAGACGCATTATCTATCCAAAATGAATAAACTGTCTTTCAAAGGTTCCTCAGTAGGGACCACTTGTCTATATCCGTTTAAGAGACTGTAAAAGAGTCCATTTAATTATTTATATTCGTCTGTTTGTGCCAGACAGGTCAGACATCATCTGGGTACAACTAAACTCTACACTAAACCTATAAAGAAGCAAACAAACGGTTTGATATAGCTGCGGATTGAGGGAGGATACATTTTTTTGTTTTTATGTAAATATATATTTATTTATTACACTGTTTAATTTCATGTATCAATTGTCGTTTTTCATTTTTAAATAAAATAGTTTTTTCAGGATTTATTGTAGTATTTATTTTGAACACACTGTGTTTGTGTACATTCGAGGAAAATTAACTGTTATATTACGATGTTGAAGAAAGAAAAATCTTGTGGCTTTCTTTAAACTTCATTGAATTTCAGACTTCAGTCCATTTAAGTCAGTCCATCTGCACGCTCCTAACACTCTCCAAAAATTACAAACACACGTGGCATGTTTTAGACAAAACAGTCTCCCGGCAAACGTGAATGAAATTTTGGTCTGCAAAGATTCCTTTGACAAGAGGCCAGGCCACCAGCTCCTCTGCCCAGAGAAAGGTGTTTTTGTCTGTGGGGGGAAGCTGGCAACTCGTGACTCTCCTGGCCGTCTGTCCTAATCTGCCAAAAAGAGTAACCTTACACTTTTATTACACCAGTGTGAATCACTTTTGGGCGTCTTTATGGCCACTGTCTGTTTAAAACCACTTTGTTTGTGGTCTCAGCCCCCCCACCCCACACACACACACACTGTCTGAGGAAACTCCACCAAGCCCCACCACCGTGAGGTTCATTCGAAAGCAAACGTACCTAGACTGCTGGCTGGCAGCATGAAATCCCGTCTGCCACCACAGCCCTCTTCCACTTCTCAGCCTCTTTATTGTTTTCGAGGTAATTTATTTAAAACAAGAAGATCAACTTCCTTCTTCCTCAGACATGTTCTTTGGTGTCAAATGTCAAACTTAGTGCACTTCTTAAAAACTAGAACCTTCCTGTACTCGCCAGTATGGAAATATAGAAGAAGTGAATGAAAAGCTGATGTTAATTATATGTTAATTCCTAAATGAGCTTCATGCTAAAAATATGAATATATGCACTGAAAAAAATGATACTCTTGACCAAATATAGTCAAATTTGTTCACACACATGTGTATATATACACCATATACCATATATATATGTGACCCTGGAGCACAAAACCAGTCTTAAGTCGCTGGGGTATATTTTTAGCAATAGCCAAAAAAAAAACATTGTATGGGTCAAAATTTGTATATGCCAAAAATCATTAGGATATTAAGTAAAGATAATTTTCCATCAAGATATTTTGTAAATTTCCTATCGTAAATATATCAAAACTAAATTTTTGATTAGCAATATGCATTGCTAAAAACTTCATTTGGACAACTTTAAAGGCGATTTTCTCAGTATTTAGATTTTTTTGCACCCTCAGAGTCCAGATTTTCAAATAGTTGTATCTCGGCCAAATATTGCCATATCCTATCAGATTATGTATAAATCTCAATTTCAAAAAATTGACCCTTATGACTGGTTTTGTGGTCCAGGATCACATATGGTTTGGTTTGGTTCAATCCTTACATTTTGACTTAATGTCAATCAAAACCATTTCTTTTCAACAAAACATTCATACAAAGTAAAAAGTCTTTATTATAAAGACTACACTATATTTAATCCGCATATTTTCATTAGACATAAGCTGAAATGTTTATTTTTTACAACTTAATTTCACTACAAACAAAAGCTAAATTAGCTATATGAGGAATTTGCTTAAAGTCCCCATGAAATCAAAATTAAAACTAAATTAAGTTTTTTGGGTGTTAGTATCAATATGTTAGTCTTAAAGGAAAAGTTATAAGGCAACGATTACGATATCATGGTTTCAATAACACATCAAACAGAAAGCATATTATTTGGGAGTATATTGCTCTGATACTTTAAATGATTTTAAATGATTGTCTTATGAATTGTCTGTGTAAGTTCTGTTTCTTTGTCTGTGACAGGAGAAACGCGCGCTTTTCTGGGAAGTAGTAAAAGAATGCGTCCCTTTTTTGAAATGCAGGGGCAAAAGCGGAGGTGTCCTGAGGTCATGCCCATGTCACGAGTGTATGTCTGCCAAGATATTGTTTATGCTCAACCAGCAACATTACACACTAACTAACGTTAAAAAAGTGAAATTGCAATCAACCACCCCTTTAAATCACATCGTACTTCATCTTCTAATCAAATCTTCTGACCAATCAAATGCTCTCTAGAATCCGAAGCGCCCGCCCCCTGCACTATAAATAGACGCTGAATCTGCAGCTAAGATCGGTCGCTTGTTCACAGTGTAGTATTTCCTGTACGGTGAATGGCTCGAAGTGCACAATGTAGGTGATAGGGAACGATTCAGACAGTGTAAATATGCTTTTGATTGGTGCAAATGAGATCTGGTTTCACGCGAACCGCAGCAGCGCACACAGTCTGATCCGGACTTTGGCTCCGGTCCAGAGACGCGATCGCACGGAGCGGATCATATGCGCGAGTCGACATATATTAAAACCTTTTACAACTACACAGCCTCAGCATGATTATGACTACTATTTTGATTTACTAAGAGTTTCATATTGAATCTAGCGGTAATCTATTAGACTGTGGCTGTCAAATACGGCTTTACCGAGCTCAACTGCTCTGGTCCAAGCAGATATAAACTAAACGCTATTGGCTATTTTAAAAGAGGGACGGGGCTGCTCGATATGTCCCGCCCTCTCTTCCTGTTTCAGTTGAAATTACGTCACCACATAGAATAATGCTGCGTGTTTCAAGGCACTTCAGGGGAAAGATAAAACTGAGGTGGAAAAAACATTTTGTTAGTCAATCTTTAATTTAGTTTACTTACAGATAAAGTTGGGAATATTCTCTTCAAAAGACCTTATTTTTTTAATTGTGATGTCTTTTTAAAATATACATCATCTTTTCTGCTATGGGCTAAAAAACACTAGGAAAATTAAATAAAACCCACAATCATTTCTGCAGTCAGTAAAGCTAGCCAGCCTGTGCTCTGCACATCAACATTCTGGTGTCAAGAGAAACGTGTTATTGTTTTTGGACGAACTGAACAAAACAGGTTTAAACCAGAAACCATGATTAGATGAATATAAAAATGCACTTTAAATAAATGATACAGCCATTTCACTTTTTTCAGCATGCTCATCCAGAAGCACTCCACCTGATTTTCAGGTATTTTATTTCCAGCAAACCCAATAAAGTAATAAAGCACATATGCATGCATGCAAACATGTCTTAGTCATCAAGACATCACAATATGTGATTCCGCAATATTTATAGGTTCAAATGTTTCATTGTTTAGAGAAAGAATGAAACCTACACTACTGCACAAAGTTTTCATAAAACTAACATCATGAAAATTAGTTGTATACACAGCAGACGAGGCCCTCTAGAGGCATGAGGCCTCACAGTGCCCTGGAGACAAACATGAGCTCATCTGCTTTATGCATACAAATGATGACAAATAAACAAAACAGCATGTAACAATCCCAAACTTGTATTGTTGCATGTAACAGCATGTAAACTTCTTCAAGAAAAAACTACCTCTGTTCTAAAACACCCGCCTGAACTTTTTAAGTCATCTTAATTGGCTGGTTTTAGATATGCTTGATAAGAGTTGAAAATGAATAGCTAGCTTAACCACCTTCAACCTAGGTTAAGTTTGGCATGGAATACTAGCATACTGTTTAATGCACAATTTATACCAAACTTTTTGAAAGCATACCGATTCAAATACTTATTGTTTAAAAAAATAGCATGTGAAACGGTATGCATTATGCTATGATATATATTTCAAAGAGTAATAAGCTACATTGCTGTCTCATAACCTCACTGCATTGTATGCTTAATTCAGCTTGTGTAGTGCAGTCAACATCATCTAGTCTAATTTTGTGTAAAAATGTCTAACTCTTGGCAGTCCAATCAAATAATGAGGAAGCAGTTAAAGGAATGGTTCACCCAAAAACTAACATTTACTCACCATCAGGCCATGATGGATTTGTTTCTTACAAACATGCAGCTTTTTGCTTCACAAGACATTAATCGATGGACTGGAGTTGTGTGAATTACTTGTGAATTATTGTGATGTTTTTATCAGCTATTTGGACTCTCATTCTGACGGCACCTGACGGCAGAAGGACAAGTTATTGTGGGTAACATCACTTCTGGTTCATGTTTAAAAAAAACAAAACAAAACACTAGCTTTCTATTTTTTCTATTCTATCTACTTGTTTTTCTTTGTGTGTGTGTGTGTATATGTGTGTGTGTATGTGTGTATAATATGTATATGTATATATACATCTTGCTACGTGTACTGCGTTAGGCTAACCGAGACTTGTCATTTGCACTTATATATTGTTGCTCTTTTGTTAGTTTTGACTGCTTTTATTGTCCTCATTTGTAAGTCGCTTTGGATAAAAGCGTCTGCTAAATGACTAAATGAATGTGTCACACTGGAAATGTCAGGTCAAGTCTGACATTTCCAGTGTGTTTTGGGACACAAAATGTCACACTATGTGTTCTGGTTGTACACTAAACTGAAATGTAGGCTGAAATACACTACACGACTTTTGTACATTTATTTATTTTTTACTTTCGCCCCCGATTTACAGTAAAAGCTGTCAGTAGACAAAAACTCCATTAAACAGTTTTAAAAGCTGTGAGCTGGCAAAAATTACATGGATCTAGTACTTTTATACACTGCGTGCCATTGTCAAGACTGTAAGTCTATCCCTCACAGCCTCATTTTCATCGGTGTTAAAATCAATAAGGCGTCTAAAATGATTAAGCTCTAATGTGATGATAATAACTGAGTGCTACTTCAAATCGTTGACAAAGATAAGCTGTAAGTCAAGTGAAGATTATAAATCACCACACAGCTGAGCGAATGCCTTCTTCGCAGTCTACATAACCGCAGACTGGACTAAATGGTCAGTTACAGAAATTAAAGTCTTTATTTCATGTATGTTTTCTTTTTGCACAAGGACAATAAATGTCAGAAAATGACGTCCGATTGTTCTATTGTTGCAATGCCCAAAAATCTCAGGCTGTCTCCTCTAGGGGCTGAAAACACGTGTTTCACTATTAGCAAGGGAGTGTAAACGTCTGTGATAAAAGTCTGGGATCAGCTGCCAGTGGTGTTTTAATACTGTTCTCTTTTCTGGCTCACTTTCTCAGCTGTTTCCCCAGCTGCTGAGGACCTCTGAGCAGCAACAGCTGCTATGAACAAAACAACTCCCACAGCATTATTGCAAGGAATTGACTCAATCAAATATAATGCCAAAACAATCTCTAACCTTCAAGGAAATATAATACATAATTCATATATTCATCTTGTTTCAAAACTGTATGCAAGACTCTTTAAAAAATTGTTCAGACTCCAGTGTTTGGACTCCAGTGTCAAAATGTCTTTGTTTGTTTTTCCTCAGAAGAAAGAAAGCCATACAGGTTCAGAAAAAAAAGTCACTAAGTGATGACAAAATTTTCATGTTTGAAATATCCCTTTAAGTCTAAAACCCAAAGTATTAAGGGAATTACAGATTACACAGTCACCAGAATCGCTGAGACTGATTCATACCAATGAGCCTTCAACAATTGAGCCCAAAGCCCCCAAATTTCCTCCACGCATACGGCCGTTCCCGAGTGCTAGGCTCTTCACGTACGGGGTGGTGAAGGGCCAGACGGGGCCCGTCATAGTGCAGGGGCTGCCTCTGCTGCAGGGCTCTTTTCACAGCTTGATTCAACTGACATCATAAACAGAAGAGATTCATGCCACAAGTTAAAAGATTTAGCCTTTCCGAGAAAACACACACATTTAACTGGGAATGATATCATAAAAAATTAAAGAAATAGAACTGGAGCAAATAATTTGTTATTTATTCCACACGTTTTTACAGTGGACCGAAAGTCGTTTTTTGGACAAATTAGTTTTGAATGTAATATGAACAATATAAGTTTATATGGAAAATATTTTTTGGCCATTTTTAAACCAAATTTGAACTTCAGTAGTGAATAATTCCACACTTTTAAGAAGTACAGCCACTTCAAACTGTGTTAAGATTATAAAAAAAAAAAATCTGTAGTACTAAATTAGCACTTTCAAATAATTTCTTCAGGATGAGGTAATAGCTTTTCTAAGAAGACTGGAAAAATGGTGCTTTGCCTTCACAGGTAAAGATTAAATTATAAAACAGTCATTTCAAACATTAATTTGCATTATCAATTTTAAACAGCTAAACACTACCTTAGGAAATAAAAACATAAAAATATATTACTGATTCCAAAAATTTCAATGATAATGTCTGAAGTGTGGGTGATAAATAATGTTGGAGCCCGGTCTCATGAAAATGCGTATCAGTAGGCGCGTTTCCATTACCCTTCAAATCGCGCAAATTTAAATTGCGAATTGAAAATACGCCTAATGGAAACGCGTCAATTTCGCAAAAACGCCCATATATCGCAAAAAAAGGTTTTACGCTCGCATGATGTGGTTTTTCAGGCAATGCGAAAAAGGAATAATTCGCAAAACTGCAATGGAAACGGCTTTTTCGCATTTACAGGTCACATGGCGTATGTAAAAAGTCATATGATCATTCTTCAACGTACTATAACCTCCAACAAACACTTCATAAGTGGCCGCGCTCCAGTATAAGGGGCTTTCACTACTATTAATGCAATTTACACTGCACACGTCTGCGGTGCAGTGTGGCTCTGATACGGTCACTGAAGCTGATTGCGGCCACTCAATACTTGTGTTTATGTTTTTATACAGTCTATGGTTTATTCCAGCCGCGCCACGCACGTTTCTGAAGCGGCTCTCTTTGCTACTTCTGTAAAGATACACGCATAAGCCTCCTTTGAATAAATATAGCCAAAATCCCACCAAAATCCATTGCCATGACTTATCGCGAGAGGCAAAAGGTTACGTTTAAGTCTCATAACATTGGTTAATGGAAACGCCATCATTTCGCAATACTTTTTTATCGACATTTATAAAACATCGCCAAAGTTTTGCGCAAATCTGTAATGGAAACGCGCCTATAGCACGATTTTCGGTTTCTATTTGGTGTGCTATTTATACGCAGAAATTGACTTTGGCGTGCATATGATACGCACGTGTTTGGCGTGTATATGATACGCAGTTTTCGCGTGCATATGATACGCAGTTTTGGCGTAATACGCACCTACCCCACACCCCTAATCCTAACCATTGCTTATCATATACGCCAAAGTCAATTTCTGCATATAAATAGTACGCCAACTAGAAAAAGAAACTCGTGGTATTTATATGCACTTTCATGAGATGGGGTTGTAATGTGGCTCTCTATCACTGTATTGGTCAGTATTTACAACACCAGTAGCAAACAATTTTATGTGTAGATCTGGCACATGTCTACCTGTTGTTTTCTCTTGACTAGCTTGCATTGCACCTCTCTTGGAGTGACGCATGGCTTCATCATCTCCTCTGAACCATCTTCAGCCTGTAACTTCTGTGAGGATGTTTGTGACTGACTCTCCTCCTTGGCAAGGGCCATCCTGCCAATTCTAGCAGAAGGAATGGAGCTCTTAAAACTAAAAGCTGATTCCTAGCAATAAACCTACATTCACACAATCTAGCATAAAATCTTCTGAAGATAAGAGAACCCAGGCATCTCTACAATCAAACTAAACCACAGTGAGTTTATTCATCAGCATGCTCACAAACCTTGACAACTTGGAGACTGCTAGTTTGAAAGCCTGAATCTTTGCCGTCAGCTGGGTTGTGACTGACTGTGCAGTGGCACAGGACATAATATCTGTCAAGGAGCATCCTGGGAGCAGACTGGACAGCAAAGGCAACACCTAAAATGAGATTTAGGAATGAGAAACTACATTTAAAGATTGCCCTTTTCCATCTAAAACAACTAAATAAAGTTTTATGCACTTGCGATTCTTAAAGTCATTATTTTCAAGTCCAGTTTGAAAATTTTAGATAAAAATACATATATTTCGCATAAAATATTTGTGATTTTATTTTTTAAAAAGCCATTTTCTATTTCTAAGCCTATTTCTCACCTATTATTTCTAAATGTTCTCCAGATAATATTTAATCATTTTTTGATTACATTTAGAAGCCAAAATAATTATTTTTGGAAACAACTTTTTTATGATTATAATATTTATAAATGGGTCTGTACATAACAATTTATAGCCATTTTTCCTCACATGGTGATTATCATATTTGGGGGTTTTGGCATCATCAAAAGGTTTTAAAACCTTAATCTTAGACATTTTATTCATATTTGATTAGGAACATTTACCATAGTTTGGGAATGTAACAAAGAGAGACTTGCCTGATCATTGGTGGGCTCCAAGATAAGGACTCTGATGGCATCCATCTTGGCCTCCTCCATTTTGGCCACTTTGCTATAAGCTTTGGCTCGATTCTCATAGTAATGTACTTCACCAGGGTTGTACCTTATAGCAACAGAAAACTTGTCTGCTGCTTCCTGGTAGTTCCTGGAACAAAACACATTTCTAAAATAATATCAAGAGGCACAAGGTAAAGAAATATGTTTAGAATTTCATACTTAACCACATAGTTTAAACCTACTTGTCTTCATAGCTATGCAGACCCAGTGTATTGTGAATAACAGCAAGCCGTAGCCAGATATCCGTGTTGTCAGGGTCCATCTCCTCTGCTTGCTGATAGTCAGCCAGTGCAAAAGTCCACTCACACTGCTTAAAAAAACAATCTGGAGGAAAAAAGACAGATTTTCTCTGTAGAATACAAATTCTGCTCCATTATTTTGAGCGATGTGAAACAACCAAGCCATTTAAGAAATTCTAATTCAACAAGAAATATCACCATCTTTATGCCACTTTCAGCCCAACACCCATTAACCTCTTTATTTCTCAGTCCACACCTCCTCTGTTGATGAACAGCTCATTTGCATCTCTCTGTTTCTCTATGGCCTTGTTCAGCAGCATGATGGCTTCACCGTACAGATTCCGGGAGAAGCACTGAATGGCAAAATCATTGTATGTGAGTATGAGTTGGGTCTGAGCATCTTCCTCTAAATCCTCTGAAATGTCCTGCATGCCTCCTTGAGGAGGATCTTCTCCAACCCCACAGAACTCAACAGCAAGAATCAAGTCCTCAATGGCAGCAGTGAAGTCTTTCAGGCGCCGATATAGAATCCCTCTATGAGCAGGCAGAAAATATGTGTATTTTATAGAGATAGTTCACCCAAAAATGAAAACTGTCTTCATTTGCTTACCCTCAATTTGTTCCAAATATGTATGAATTTCTTTCAGCTGTTGAACACAAAAGAAGATATTTTGAAGAATGCTGGTATCCAAATCGTTGACGTAGCCATTGATTTTCACAGTATGGAAAAAATAATATGGAAGGTTACCAGCATTCCTCAGAAAAATCACAAATTAGATCACTTTTTTTAATCTCACAACTGTTTCTTCTAGATACCAGTGGAGACATTGCTTACCTCTTCTGCTTTGCAGTAAATCTCACATGTGTCTCCTCGAGAATGTCAGAACAGATATCAACAAAGTCTTAAAGTGATAGTTCACCCAAACTCTGTCATCATTTATCCTCAAGCTGTTCCAAACCTGTATGAATTTCTTTCAGCTGTTGAACACAAAAGAAGATATTTTGAAGAATGCTGGTATCCAAATCGTTGACGTAGCCATTGATTTTCACAGTATGGAAAAAATAATATGGAAGGTTACCAGCATTCCTCAAAATATCTTTTATTGTGTTCAGCAGATTAAACTCATAAAGGTTTGGAACAAGTGGTGGGTGAGTAAATGACAAATGAATGTACAGTGGGGAAAATATTTAAGTGGGCAAACTTACAAAATCAGCAGGGGATCAAATAAATATTTTCCCCACTGTATCCCATTAATACCATTTATATTATATGTCTACTTCACTATATGTAGTTAATTTTTTATTTAATTTATTGATTGATTGATTTGAATTTACTTCTTATTAAAGCATTTACAACACATATACTGTACAAACAAGATAGTCCTATAGTATAGCACTGCTGAAAAGACCAGTTCATCAAGTATTGCTGGTCTGATTTCCATCCAAAAAGTATATTTTAATTAAATTTTCTTGTGTCCCTTTTTATCTATTTATTAATTATTATCAATGTAATCCACTTTTTGTAATTGCTTGTAATGCACTTGTTTGTGCTATAATGTTTGAAAGGTGTTATACAAACAACGTTAATATTATGAATTTACTTTCTGATCCAGGCTGGTTTATGCTGATTTAGTGCTGGTATTACATTTTTTTTGTGAACACAGTACCATAATACTACAATGTTTTGTGTACATGTATCATGCTAGTACTATCATGCAGGCAAACTTTGAAGAAGCTTATTTTACTTAAATAGCTATAAATATACAGTAAACATTTTTTTTTTCGTATTTCATGGAAAACAGTAATAACCCTAACCCTGGAAAATAGTAATATAAATAATCAGTGTGTCTAAATTTTTGACTGGTAATAGAAAAGCAAAGCAAAAAAAAAAATCATTGTAACAGAAAATTCATATAAAACCTAAATTAAGTGTGTATATCATATCATAATACTAATTTAAATGGAATAATATCACTGTCACGAAAGGCCAATTCTTTAGCAGGCAGTAAATGCCCCTTACCTAAAGAGGTAGTACTGTGCTTTATTGGGGTTATATTCCAGAGCGGTGTTAATTTTCCCCAGTGCATCTGAAAGCTCTCCCTTTAATGCCTTATCGACAGCTGCCTGATGGGAATCATCCGCTGCTTCCTTCAGCCTCTTCAGCAGTGCCTGTGCCTCTGGACAGCACGGTTTCAGCCTGAGTGCTGACCTCAAGTCATGATAGCACAAAGTCATCTGAGGAGACACGCAGTCCTCTTACCTGTTTATTACAGTCACTTGAAGGGAAATGTTTTTCTGAAGGCTGTGAATGATGGTCTGACCTGACTGAGCTGGTGGTGAAGGCGAGCTCTCAGAGTGAAGAGGTCTGCTGACTGGCCGTCCGTCTCCAGCCAATTATTGACCAACCGAAGACAGTCAGAGTAACGGCCAAGAGCGGTCAGACAAGCCAAACTATGAATACATATACAACAATTATGGAAAATTATGATCTCATGGTATCCACGGTAGCCCAAAACTCTTTTTGGACACTTTTTAACACGTACGTCACACTTAAAAATGCCTGTATTGCATTGCATTGGATCCAAAATATCAAACCAAGTGTCATCAGCAACAAAACTAAATGACTAACTGCACTTTTCTAGCCAATATCTTTTAACACTTTAAGACTGTTGAGGGTCATTTTGACCCTGTTTAGACCGACTTTTCAGCCTTTTTCAGATTTTTATCATCGTTATCCACATACATTTTAATCGTAATCTTGATATAATATTGTTTATCGCCTGGCACTAATTCTGGCTATTTATAGAATGTGCTTGGGTGTCCAGATATCATTTTTTTGTTCATTTTGAACAATATGTCTATTGTTTTAATTTTTTTTTTCAATAATGTAGTTCTTTAATTAAATTGTTTAATTATTTTTCATGAAAAGTGTGAGTGATTGAGCTATATTTTAAACTATATTTCTTAAAAAATAAATGCTACTTTAAACATACACATTTTAAAATGTGGCGTGATTGTCCAAATCGATTTTGAGTTAGCTTTTATTCAGTAGTAACTTGGGAATTATATGAATAATATGTTGCATTTAGTTAAATCCTGCACACACACAATGGGGAAAAAAAAAAAAAAAAAAGCAACAGCACTCAATAATGTGAACAACAGTAGGTGATGATAGTTAGGTGAAGAGAGAGCATGTAGCGCCACCTAGTGGTATTTTGGTGTTAACATGATGCTAGTTTAGCTAGTAGTTCAGACACATGTAGACTTCAAATCTCTTTAAAGGGCACTTAAATATCTGGTACAGTCTGCACTGACCTTCTCATGTGATATGGCCGAAAGGAGGGTTTGAGTTCTGCAGCTTTTGTGAAAGACTCCAGAGCCTCCAGAATCTTCCCTAAATCAAAACAACACTGGCCCTATAAGGTCAGTTAGAACATACACAGATATGTGGTCATTAACAATGAATAACAGCAGAGGACCATATGTGATAAATTCATGCACATTTTATTGCAGGGAAAATTGTGCATTTCAACTATGCAAATAAATATGAATAAAATGGGCATTGGGGTAAAGATCAAAAAGGGCAAAAAGAAACAAAACAACAGTCATAATTCTAATGACCTTTTGACTGCAAACTTAATGTTTTATAAATGTGTTAATGAATGGATACATTTCAAAACACAAACAGCAAAGGCGATACCATTTGTAATATTTCAAGCTCATAATCTAGTTTCTGTCATCTGTGAATAAATTAATTGTTGTACCTGCAGGTAGTAGATGAAGGCAAGTTGTTGAGGGTAGGCCTCAGTTTGAGGATCCAGACTGCAGGCATGTTTGTAATCTAGTGCTGCAGATTGGAAGTCACACAGCTGAATATATGCTTCTGCTCGTTGGACATAAAACTTAGTCTGCAGGTGGGGAGAATATTAAATCAGATGAATATTTAGAGCCAAGTAATTATGGAGTACATATACAATCCATTGCCTGACCTCTACCTGATGTGGCTGGAGTAGAATGGCCTTTGAGAAACAGGACACAGCCTTGTCAAAGTGAGACTGTGACATGGCACCAACACCTGCTTCATAACTAGACACATGTGTAAATATGCTTCTCAGCTAGACTCTGTAGTATTGTTTATAAACATCTGTTCACTTACTGTTTCTCTGTCTTTTCTTTTATTATGCGCTCCCCATACATATCCGGTTTCTTTTTCTGGAAAATGAGAAATACAGATTTTTGTATAAATAAATAAATATATTCGAATACTTATTATTTCCTAGTTCTGCTTGCTTGAATGACATGACCAGGAATTATTCTTAATTCTGAGAACACATGGACATTTTCAACTGCATGAATATGTACTAAACTATTTCATCTAATCTCTCTCTCTCTCTCTCTCTCTCACACACACACACACACACACACACACACAAACACACACACAGAGCAAGAAATGTTGCACACATGTAAAATACGAACCTCGGCACAGCCAACAGGTGGATTCATATTGACAACAGAGGTGCATAAGTAAAAGTTTAAGCACTTAAAGAACATTAAAAACCTCCAGAGTCCTCACGTTTATTTCACACAACCAAAACAAATCAACAAACAGTGCAGACCCTGAAACTAAAAGCACTTTTGAAAACATTTAGTAACTATGGGAACAGTTAAATGGCAAAAGAAGAGCAACGGCTGTATGTAGAAATGTGTTTTTAATAAACATCTTTTAAAATACTTTTTAGTGCAAAGTGACAATTTTATCAAATGAATTTAAAAGCACAATGTTAGATCAAATCTTTTTTTTTAAATAGGCAATAAATATTTTGTGTGCATTCTTGTATGCAAGCACAAAGGAATAATAACGGACTTTTATTTTGAAATCGCAACGTCTTTCGTCAGCAGGTATGTATTACTGTCAGCTGACAACAAGTGAATAAAGCGTTTTTCCTCGGGATGCTGAAAAACAAAGCCTTTGTTACTTCGCTGGCTGAACTTGTGTATGTTTTGTCAGTTGTAACGTATGAACATAACAGCACAGTTTGTGGGTGGCGATTATCTATGAAGTGCTTGATTATCGTTTGTGAGAGGAGACGCTATGGATGATTATGAGGAGACCAGACCACTGTTGGTCAACGATGAGCAGACAGACGAGGACAGATCAGAGCAGGACTCCTATCTGGAGTACGTGTGAACTTATGGTCACTTTTATGCAACTTATGATGGTATTTACATGCTACTCCATGGTGCTTCAAAGAGCACGGTGTATATCCACACAAAAAACTATGATACTATTACTGTTTTTTTGTTAGTTGTGTGATCACATATTATTGGCACTGAAAATGTTATTCACTCCGTGATTTGTTTAAAGTCACCGAAGAATCCTTACATTTTGTCAACAGAATGAGTTGACAATGACTTAACATACAGTGTTCCTGTACTCAAGGAAAACCTGTTTAACAAGAATGCTAACCTTATCCATAGCTGATTTGTGTGTAACTAATTTTGCTCGACAGTAAAGTTAAGAATGGGAAGCTGTACATTGCCACATTCGCAGCAGTTCTGGGACCCCTGAGTTTTGGGTTTGTCCTGGGTTATAGCTCTCCTGCCATACCTGAACTCAGCAAAATCCAAGACCCAAGACTGCAGCTCAGCACAGAGGAAGCTTCCTGGTTTGGGGTATGTGAATGCTTTTTTTTTTTTTTTTTTTTCAGGTAAATGCTTATCATTTTTAGTTCCTCAGAACTTACAATGCCATTAGTTTCTGAGTTGGAGGATGTTTAAATACCAAAATCCAAAGTTAGTTGTCCGCTAAAAAAAAGTTGAGCAAAGATGCTGATGTCAACGGAACAACATTATGATTCTCTGTCTTATAGTCCGTGGTGACCATTGGTGCAGCTCTTGGGGGTCTCCTTGGTGGATGGATTGTCGAGAAGATTGGACGAAAATTGAGCCTTATGTTTTGTGCATTACCCTTCATCTGTGGGTTTACCATCATTATCGCTGCTCAGAACCACTGGATGTTATATGTGGGCAGAGTGCTCACTGGTCTAGCCAGTGGAGTGACTTCTCTTGTTGTACCTGTAAGTATTACCAGTGTATTGCTGGAAGTAAAAATCCCAGATTTTCTCTATAGGGGAATTGATTTTTAACAATAAATGCTAAACCTTAAGACCTACTGTGAGCAGTGAGGTTGTATTTGCTTTTGTTGAAACCATCAGTCTGCATGATTCAAATTTTTTTTAAATATTCATGTTTAACAGCAAAATTCCTGGTAAAAACAAGATTCTGCAAAGAAGTCTCCAACAATCAGAATCATGGGCTCTTTAGCGTCCACCTTCTTGCATGAAGCACAGCAGATGACATAACAGTGTCAGTCTCCTTATGCTCCTAAACTCCTGAAATATTTGTATATACATAGGTATATTTTGCAATAAGCTTAAAATAGTTTCTATATATAATCAACACCTTTAAATGAATCGTTTTATATTTCTCCATCATTTAATTGGGTTATGTCATACGCAGTGCTTCGTGGTAATGTAGTTCTTTGTCTCACTACAGTTGTTCATTTCAGTCTTGTACCTTTTGACCAATTTTCAAATATTTTTTTTGCTTCAAATCTAATTTTGTCATTGTTATTCACTTAATAGTTGGTTGGTTTGGTTCCTTTCATGACTTATAATCCTTCAACAAAGTTTTTAAAACTCCTATGGGGGAAACAAAATTGGGGAAATGCTCTCAGAAATTATTGTTGTTGTTGTTATTGTAGCACTGCAGACCGTAGTTAACAACTGAAATTCTGTGAACCATGTTTTTAACCAAATTTTGGAAATTTTATTCAATAGAACGTTATCCATTTGACTTTGGTCTCCATTTCTGCAGCTCTACATCTCTGAAACGGCTCATGAGCGTGTTAGGGGAACTATGGGCTCGTGTGTGCAACTTATGGTTGTGATAGGCATTATGGGAGCCTATATAACAGGTAGTAGCCCTCATTTTAAACTTGTGACTGAACTGTGACACAAGTTATGACACTTGTGCCTTTGAGAGTAAATAGAGCTGCTCTGCTCTCAGTTAGCTGTATGAGATGATTGTTAATGTTTAATCGGAGGACACATTTCAACCTTCTTTAATTACAGCGAGATCTTACACATACTGTATACTGTCTCTTTTCCAATGCATCCCTGCACTCCAGTACTTTATTTGTTCTTTGAAATCAGATCAGATTTGTGTGAATGCCTCCCTAATTTGTGCTGGCGAGAATCCTTATAAAAGACTTTCAGTTTTGCATTAATGGCTAGGTCAGTTTAGCTCAGGAATGTCCCTCTTAAACATGCACAGAGCCTGCATTGTACATTGCTCTATCTGGGCTGTGTTTACATGAAGAGTATGAAAACCTGACCCATTCTGTGTGATCAGTAGTAGTATACTGTATACCTTAAAAGTACCTCCAGTAATTTATAGTAGTATTTATACAATGCCATGAGGGTGAGTAAATGATAACAGAATTCATTTTGTGGCAAACTATCACTTTAAATAATGCAAATTTTTTTTCAAGGTTTGTTCCTGGACTGGCGATGGTTAGCAATTGCATCCTCTATCCCCCCCACAATAATGCTGGTGTTTATGTGCTTCATGCCGGAGACACCACGATTCCTGCTCTCCCAAGGGAAAAGGAGAGAGGCAGAGGAGGCCCTGCACTTTCTCAGGGGCCCTGATGCCCCGGCAGAGTGGGAGTGTGCTAGAATAGAAGAGGCCTACAACAATGAAGTTAGACATCACAAATTTCTCATTTCACATCTCAAAGTTCAAAGCTCTCAATTTTAGTATTACATGTTGAGCTGCAGTTCAAGGTTAAAGTCAATGTGAAATTTCTAATATAACATTTTTGAGTGAACTGGATATTCAATGATGAAACATAGTTCACCAAAAAATGAAAATTCTGTCATCATTTACTCAGCTTCATGTCGTTCCAAATCCATTAGACTTTTCATTCTTTTTTTGAAACGCAAATTAATATATTTTTAATGATGATTTATGTCCCTCCAATGAAAGTCTATTCCACAAAAAATGCTTCAAAATCCACGATTTGAGTGGTATAATCCAAGAGACATGACCACTTTATATGACAAATACATTTAATTTAGGCTTTTGAACAATGAACAATGCACATATATAGAGCTCTTCAAATATGGTAAACGGAAGCGCAGCCATTCTTGCTTGACGAACAAACTTTATTCGTTCTTGTGGACAATGTTTATATGTGGGAAAAAAATCTATTGAAAATAAAAAAAATTATATAAAATTATATATCCGTAATATAAAATGTCTCTTCAGAAGACTTGGATTAAATCGCTCAGTTCATATCGATTTCTTTATAAGTCTTTATGAACTTTTTGAAGCTTCAATTTTTTGGTTGTGTGGACTTTCAGTGGAGAAACTGAAATCTCTCAGGTTTCAAAAAAAATATCTTGATTTGTGTTTTGTAGAGGAGTGAAAGTCTTGGAACACCATGGGGGTGAGTGAATGATGACAGAATTTAGATTGTTGGGTGAACTATCTCAAATTTTATCCAACAGGAACTGACTTCAATGATTAAATGTGGGTGTTACCAACCAGAGTTTAAGCTTTTTTTAATTTAATAAATAAAATTCTGTGTACAACTGTATACAAGTCACTAAGGTTGACATTTGATTGATTACAGGAGCAAAGCTTCAGTCTGGCAGATCTAAAGGACCCTGGTGTCTTTAAGCCTTTAGGCATAGGCATTATGATGATGCTTCTCCAGCAATTAACCGGCATTAATGCAATCATGTTTTACGCAGAGACAATCTTTGAGCAGGCCCATTTCAAAGTGAGTTTTGTTGATGAAGTTCATTGATTCATTCAGCTTTTTTTATGCTAAATGCACACTGTAATGTTCTTTATTTTCCACCACAGAGCGGTGATGTGGCCACTGTTATTGTTGCAGCCACACAGGTGGTCTTCACTGCAATTGCTGCTGCTATCATGGACAAGGCTGGGCGGAAAGTTCTCCTCATCTTGTCTGGTAGCAACATCATTAATAAACTGATACATTTGCACTGTAACACTTTACTTAAAGCCTTTATGTATAATGCATTATAAAGGTAGTTTTAATGCATTAATTATGCCTTGTATTGCACCTTATAATGCATTGTACAATCTAATGAATAATTGTAACCACAGTTAAAACATTATAACACTTATCAATTCACTGTTACACTATGCATTTTAAATTTGGTTACAATTATTTACGACAAGATATAATGTATTACAATGCACATTATGAATCATTTTAACGCATTATACCCTTTAATAACCCTTTATAATGCATTATACATAAAGGCTTTAAGTAAAGTGTTACACCATTTGCACTACTGTTTTTGGAAAAAAATAAAAATGGATTGTCCTTAATTTTGTGTCCCTCCACAAGGTGTCACCATGTGTGTTAGTGAAGCAGTGTTTGGAGTATATTTCAAGTTGACTGTGAAGCATAATAACTCCTCACTGACGAGTGTATTATTAGACGCCCAGGGTTCTCTGGCAGAGCAGCCTCCTACAGACCTGGCCTGGCTGGCTGTGGGAAGCATGGG